TGTATTTTCCATGACCCAGGAAATGTGACAATTGCCTGGTATTTCAAAAACAAATGGGTCTTGCTGCTTAGGCACAGGATGAAAATTTGCTAAAAGATTGAACTTTTCATTACATATGTCCAAAGAGCTTTTGAAGGTCTGAGAAATTTAAATAAATGATAAAATGATGATGTAGAGTATTTCATGATATTAAATGCTAAAAGAGCTAAAATAGTTGGGAGAATGTCCCATCACATAATTGAAATCTATTAATTAAGTCTTGAGGAACCCTTCTTGCAGTTACACAAGTTGTCAGAACCACTTTTTGTTTTGTGTTCTGAGTATATATGGCTTCTATAAGCAACTTGAATATATTGTGCACAAAAAAGAAGGGACCGTGTATTGTACCAGTGAATGCTTCTAGTGATGAATCAATTTATATTAAGGCCACCTGCTGTTATGAAGAATCAAAGAATGTCTGTCAAACCTGAAATTCACATCAATCAATATAACATCATGTTTTAGTATTAAATAGGAGGAAAAAAAACCTCTCAAAGTAGATGCTTTACTTGTCCCTGAATGAAAGCTGTGGTGGTAACAGATAATTTGACTGCTTATACATCATTTAAACACCTATATAGTTTTGGTTTCGTGGCAAGAAAGAATTGTCCCTCCCTTAAAAGGTATTTATCTACATCAAAAAGTGTACATGAATATTGTACCTATGGACTTTCATGAACAAGTCAAGATCTTTTCTTTAAAAACAAAAAAGGTTTACATGAAGAGAGCACAATAGCAAGGGGTTGAATTTTTACATTCTGTATTTTGTTTAACTCCAGGCTAAGTTGAAAACACAGATTAGGTCCATCACTTTAGGTTCAGTTGTCTATATTTGTGTAGAATCAGTTTTTTATGTGTCTGGTAAATATGCTAGCTAAAGGAAAATCCAAGAACAATCATAATTGTTATGTGGACTTACTTGAGCAACCATGTAGTTCAAGTATCCAGGGGAGCTGGACATATGAATGGTGCCATCTTAGGAGCCCAAGCAGAATGTCAATATAACCTAGAGGTAAGATGGGGGAGAAACTATCATAAGTGATTTTAGAGTTTCCAGTACACCTCTACCATCTGATAATTATTGATCTTCCTACCTTAGAATGTTAATTTGATCCTGGGGAAAATATACATGCAGAAGAGTTAGTTAACACTAAAACGTTTTCACTTAGTTATATCTTAATCTGTATGAAACAACTAGGAACATTTTTTGATGGGGAACTAGAGAGTATTAAGCACACTGGGATGGGATGGGAACTATGCCAAGAAAGCTTTATGTACTTAATTCATTTTTGGAATGTTAGTGCAACCTAAATATTGAAACCTCTATCAACAGGGTCTTTGTCTTATTCAAAACAGGAAACTGTTGAAAAGACACAGGAGTATTTCATGGAATATAAAACAGATTGACATTACTAGCACTGAGACTACTCCCTTTTTCTTTCTCTCTGGGTCCTACATGGCTCTCTTGACTGCTTCTCTCTATCTATGTCATTCTTTTATTCTCTGCAGTTTTTTTCATCTCTGCACACATCCCAAAACCACATACTTTATGTGTTTTATTACTAGCTACATGCAGAAGCCAATTCCAAATTAATGGGCAAGAGAAACGGTCCTAGCATAAGGCAGGAAAGATCTCTGCTTTAATCATCTCTGACCAGGCGTGCAGGATCATATGTTGCAAATATGGCTGCCACTCAAGGCTTCTGTTGTTCACAGAAAAATCATTATAGGTGGAGCATAAATTCCAAAACTAATCAATTACGTCAACTGTTTGGTTTTCTACTCTCTCTCATACCTATACATGCAATTATAACTAAATGGCAACACTTGGGAGAGCCAACTATTTGATCTCTTTTTCCTATAGGAGATTTTCCCCAATTCTTACTCTGACTTCAGCTTTGTATTTCCAAGACTTGTAAACAATTCTAAAAATGCTCCAGATCCAAAAGCTATATTATACAAACAATTCTAAGTATTTAAATGCATGGAATTATACATATTTATACTAGTTACAAATAAAAACCAGGCCAATTTTAAGAAAACAGCATGTTGCATATGTTTTCTCCATTCAAATAGCACAAAAGTCAAACTTAGGTAAAGCCAAGCAGTGCTTTTGGTTTGAATGGTTATAAGGTTTAATTGTTGCCTCATCTTTTTGAGTGTTTCTGATATGAAGTCATGCAATTATTGGGAGCAGTGATTTCTGAATCATACTTGAACTTCTTAAAGCTCAAATACCTGGCTAAATATGTAATAATATTTATTGACTTTCTGAAAATTGGAGGAAAGTAACTCAAAGTATTCCATGTCTTGAAAGTTGGCTGGAAAGATATGTGATAAATATGGAGGTTTGCACAAAGTTTTTGAGCAATGAATTTTCCAAAAATTCTTCTTTATTAGAGGCATTTAAAAATATCAAGGTCTTTAGAGAATGTAACTGGAAATTGCATATGAAACTTTATGTTTCTGTAAGCATTCTTATATTATGTCAAATTTATGCCAATTATGTGTCAAAGGTAAGCAGCATTCATAGCTTGGAGACAAATGATCATTTGTTAAATGTTTATTGCAACTTCCCTGTTTTCTTCTTTCACATATACCACATTTCAAATAATTAACATATAACATAACCACAGTAGTTAGATAATGTTTAAGAAGAAGTGATATCTAAAAGTTGTTGATTGGAAAACTTGTGCTTAATGTTAGGAATTACATCACCCCTGAGCAGTGATACTGACAAAAGCTTTCCCAAAATGCTTTGATACAGAAGTTTGCCTTCAGACTACCTACAGATGCATTCCAATCCATACAAAAATCACAATTCATATATATATGCATATATATCATATATGTATATATATCCTTGTCACTTGCAGAGATTAACGTATTCAATGTTTCTGGTGGTTTGATGACATGGTTTTCCAGTACATGCTTCAAGCATCTTTTATAATTATTATTTCTATGAAGTCATTCAACTTGGAAATAATTGCTTGCCAAAACTGGGTTTCTCTGGTGAACCACTCAACACAGCTTTAGTTTTACAAATAACACAATTCTTTGTGTGTTGTTAATCTCGGTTTAGAAACACCACATATTATCCTTTCCTCTTGAACAGTTCAGCTCCTGTTCTTATACTTTAGAACCATTACTTACTTCTAGAATATAAATGTGTGAAGCACATAGCTGGTGACTCTTTGAAAATAGATTTTCCAAGTATATATAAAACAGAGGTCTAGGGCAACATTTAATAGTCATTAGGAATGTGAGGACTTCCCAAACAGTTCCCAAACTTGCTTTATATAAGAGTTACATGGAGTTTACTACATGGAGTTTTGTTATTTACTGTTTTTAGTTTTTGAGATTAAGTTGCTATGATACTGTGTACCCAAACTTGACATAAAAGTTATTCAAATAATTGAGTGCTTCCTGCTAAAATACTCCAAAGAACTTAACTCTAATTTTTATTTGCTTTTAATCTCATCTCATCTAACATTGCACTTCTGAAATAGCATTAACAGTCCTAACATGAAAATTTGATAAACAATTTACGTATTCAGTGGATGTCTACAGAATACACAATTTGGTATCAATTTATTCTCTTAACAAAATGACTTAAACCATTGAAATGGAACATTGTTGACATAGCACAGGCTAGACTTAATAAAGCAGACTGCTCACAGACCATATGGCCATTATGGAAAAATAAATTGAAATTGCTTTCCTAGATTATGTTCACAATGAAATCTCTGAAGGTAAAGGAATTTTCCTTGTCAAATCTTAGTGAAGCTATGTCTCCACATGTTCCAAATTCAGAGAAACTGGGTCATGGATAATTACCAGGCAAGATATGTTTGTAAAGGTGATTTGCTAATGAGAATTCTCTATGAAAATGCAAGCACTTATACTGAAAATATAATACAACAAATGAGTGATGTTCCTCCATCAAATTAGAATTTAAGGCCATTGAAAGGGGAAAAATTTAAACAGAAAAAATAAGAAAATGTTGAAACATATAACAAATATGCATATTTTTAAAAGTTTGATATTATTATAGATTTACAGATGACTTAGAACATTTTTATCATAGCAGGAAAAATTAACTGGATCCCTTCAAAATTTAAACGTTCAGGTGAGACATGAAAGTCTTTGTGACAAACATATCATATGTTAGAGCTGATATTATCAGCTTCAGAAAGTATGTTCAATTGCTTATAATTCTATTTATATCTTCAGGAAGATTTTTTTCTAGCATATATACAAGTGAACTCTATTTCATGTCTGATTTAAATTGCTTTACAAGTATACTCACCATTTATACACAGCAAAGGGTGATGGCAAATTTTGACTTTAATTTCATGTTTTCACATACATACACCCACATATGTGCATGTGCACAAGAATATGCACTGAATATTGAAATTGCCTCTTTAATGAAAAAATGAAATGCAGGCAAGCCTGCTTTAACATAATCTGCATACACTGAGAATTACATAAAAACAAAACTATAATATCAATTCCTTTCACTACTCCTATTTCTACTGTGGTTATAGAATAGGGAAAAAAAACAATGACTTATACTGCATCTACTATGCATTTTAAAACAGAAAGTTGACACTTAATAATATTCTTTGCTCTCTCACTGATTCTTTATATGACTTAGTGGCAGAAGACATGAAGGATCTTGGGTAAGAATCGGAAATAAAATTTAAAAATGGTATTTTGAGGGACTAAGGTGTAGCTCAGTGGTAGAGACTTGCCTGTCATGTGTGAGGCCCTGGGTTCCATTCCCAGCACCACAAAAAAAGAACCACTCTTTTAAAAAATCAAATTAAGTATGTCCCATTAAGCTGTGTTTTCTGAATGATAAATATTTTAAAGAACTCAGGATAATGTAACTTTGAAATTTTGGCTAAAAAGTTTACACAGAAGAGAAGACACAAAGTCAAACCATATCAGTGAACTCACTTTTATTTTTATTTTTTTCCACATAGTAACTTCATGTCAACTACAAAAATCATGAAATTTAGAACTGAACATGAAACTATAAACTCAAACTCACAGGAGCGACAAACAGATTTTCCCCAGATGACTGCTAAGAAAAAGTAACCAGGATATCAGAAATTCATATTTAAGTAGTAAACATGTCATATATTTAAAAATAATAAATATAGAATAGCAGTAGAGAAACTAATAGCATAAACAGCATGAAGTATATTTTATTTAAGACAGATGAAATTTCTAGGCACAGTTTTAGGCATTAAAGAGGACACAGAGGCATAGGTTAGTGTGTGCTGCTCTGTACAAAAATACAGTTTGAATAAATTACATTGCTAGCCATACAATTAGACATCACTTACCAGTCAGTTCATTGCATGTTTAATAATATACAGGTACATGCTAATCCATATATATCATTTATATCTCAAACACAGTCTCTCTATATTTATGTCTTTAAAATTTACATGTTGAACTTACAAAAAGCTAAATACTTGTGCAAGAAATCTGAATAACTAGCCCTGCTGAGTACTTTTATGCTATGTGTGTATGTATATATTATCTCTCTAAGATAAACAATGGGTTGGTAGTTAACAATTTTGCTTAAGAAAACATCAAATAAACCTAAAGCTGCAAAGACGTTAGTGTCAGTGAAAATTTCTCTTAAGTTTATTTTGATGGACAAAATAGTATTTTGAATGAGCAACAATAATTTTCCTGTTGTAGTGAGCCTTGTTAGTAATGAAACACTTCCCAATATTAGTGATGCTAGAAATATAGCATAGGGCTCTTCACTGGGAAAAGGAAAAGTTATAGAAGAAATCTACTTTTCAGTAAACTGCTAATATATGTGCAACTGTAACATATTCTGTCAATTCTCAGCTTGTCATATTGACAGAATGAAAACTTGATAAGATTCTAGATATGATATTGGTCTAACAGCACACTGCATCCTCCACTAGAAGTGCCTCATTGATATCAGCACCAAAGAACTATTCTTCTATTATTCAAGAATAAAAAGATCTTCTCACAATGGAGTGTGTTTACTTGAATCCCTATCCAAATAGTGTATTTCTCATGCTGTTCTGACAATATGCAATTAACTGCAAGGCAGCCTGCTCCAGATTTCACTATTTCTCAAGAAAATTTCTTCAAAATATTTTATAATACTAATATCTTTCTGGATATTTTCCATCCATAGTTTTTATGATTCTTTACAGAATCATAAACTTTTATAAAGGTTTCTTTTTAGGATGCACTGAATGACTTTTGTCTATCATTACTAAAATAAGCATAAGCCTGGTACTTCATACTTACTTTGAGATTCAAAAGAAAATCCACAAGTGTGTTTTTTTGGCATTTGAAAAATAAAATGCTTTTTTGAGGGGAGAAGGGTTGTTTTTGGCAACTACTCTTAAGACAAGCTGAAAGCAGCACTCTGCTCTGGGAGGTAAAGGAAATTATTAAATCTATAGCTAAGGTCCTGCTCTTAATGGATTTCGTAACACAATAGCACATTGGCATGTTTTAAGTTATTTTTCCAGTGCTTCTTTCTGCAAGAGGGCCAAACCAGAACATACTGTTTTTAATGTCTTTGTTAATAAAAATAATCATTTATAGCTTTCATATTAGAACTGTTTATTTTATATAAAAATAGGTTTATAATTAAAATATCCAAATTTGTATAGTAAACAGAATTAACACAAGTTTGCAGTATGAGATTAGTTTCAAACTTACTCCCTATTAATGATATTTCCTTCTCTTAGAACAGTTCAATAAATGTTTCTCCTAACATAAATCCATCATACTTGTGTGCACGAATCAGTTAGCCCATTAGAACTTCAGAGGACCAGGTGATAACCAAATGAATTCTACTCCTCTACCAAGACATTTATATAAATCTATCACTATTTCTTTTCTTAACAAAGACATTTAAAATACTTGCAAAAAATAGCAGCCTTGTATTTTAATGAATTTTACAAAGTGATCATCCTAATTGCTACTCTCTTTTGAACTACAGTGCTTACCCAATAATCATTAATTTTTAGATTAACACTATTTCAATTTTTCTTCTTAAGCAATTTTATTAACACTTCCAGTGAAACAGTAGAGAACACAGCAAAAAGATATAGGTTCTTTTCTATGGTAAATAAGTGTGAATACCAATCTAAGCCTCTTAATAATGTGTACAAAGTTAGTGTTCAAACCACTTCACTAGAGCAAATATGAATTATGTGTATAATTAGTAAATGCATGTGCAGGGTCAGGGAACAGCTTATTACCATTTATACTAACTTTCACTTTCTATAAAAATATTTAAGCTTGTTACGTATGCACAATTATTTGCTGCAATGTTTGGCAAATGATTTAAAGAGTACAAAAGTAACTCATGAATCTTTTCTCTCATTGCCCCAGGGAAAGCAGAGACACTCAATTTTCTACATGAGGCTGAGGCACAATTTTTAACCATGTAATTAAAAACGCATGTCTCCAAGTCTTGACTTTCTTTCCAGGGAGATGCTGATTGCTAACGCATAATCTCCCATTAAAAAGAGTATTCTTGAAGGTGGAATGTGAATCATTATCCAGTTATATTCACAACTCCCATTAGATACCTGAAAGGCAGGTGACTTTTCAAGAGCTCACAAGTGAATAACCAAGAGCCAATGTAGTCAGTGGGTGGTTTAAGCAGGTGATAAGGGCTCTAACAGTGGAATCCTTGTTTGCACAAAGGAACTTTTAATGTTGCTTATGCCAGCTGCTCCCCTGCAGGCAATAGGAGATTCAGGCAATTCTCATTCCGACTAGTTTCTTACACTGGTTGCTGTCATATAGACCCTTCACTTGTCAAGAAAAATAACATGAACATATTGGAAGTTTGCAGCATTTGCCTATATCTAATCAGCTCTCTTAGTTTGTGCAGGTTCCTAACATGGATGTAAAAGCTGGTTATGATGTTGATAGCCAAGAGGCAAAGTAAGTATATTAAATCAACTGAGCAAACTGTTTGATGCTCCACAAGTGTTTTAGAAAACTGTGAGTTAGAAAAGATGCAGATGTAAATCTTTTGTTGGATGGTTGTTTTTTCTTTTTCTTTTTTGCTCGAGAGTTGGTTTTAGTAGTAGTCTTCATAGTTCTTAGGATTCAGGCAATAAAGGATGGCACCCCCAAACGAAAATATAGTCGCACCCCAGGCCAGGCCATAACCCCAGTTGAACTCATGGTAAATTTTCAGGCTCACAGTTTCAATGAACTTGATTGGGTAAAGGACCAGGCTGCAAACCTGTAAAACAACTGAAACAAAAAACGAAATAGAAATTAGAAAATATTATTCACATGAAATAAAACAATGTAATAGCATAAATATCATATGAGCATTGCTTTTAAATCAAATAAACATAAATGCCCAAAAGCATTGCTTATTCTAGACACTGCACTTTAGAATATTAATGATTTTTTGTTTCACAATATAGTAAGAATTATCCTATCGATGACTAGTGAATTACTATTAGTATTTGATGAAATAATTAGTGAAATGTAATAATTTATAAGCATACAAAATAGTGATTCCCATCTTACAAACACATACATATATAATTATCACTATAATGGCAAGTAGAACTACTTAAGATAAACTTTTCAAATATACCACACCTATAAAGAGTTCACTAAGAATTGTGGTCCCAATGCAGACTTAAACCCTTGTTGTTTATTTTATGTGCATTTAAACAGGGAATTCAAAATCATTTCTCTTGATGAAACTGGTCAACCTGTGAATAAAGACACAACTTGGTTGGCATTGTTGCTTCACAACCATCTAACTCAGCCCAATATTCCAGTCTTAACTTGATGTCTTTGTATCTGTTACTCATCCAAAACTAATTTTACTCTTTTCCTCTAATCCACTCTATACTTCTTCATCTTTAAAAAGAGACTTAAAAGTTATTTTTGTCAGGAAGCCACAACTAATTATACCCTTTTTGTTAGATTTAATACGTGATTTTTACATTTCTATTTCCTACCTACTTCAGAAAAGAATTAAATCAATGAACGTATGGGAGATAATGGTACTGAAAAACTTAGTCTAATGGAGGCTATTATAGTAGAGCACAAATTTGAGTTCTTACTTCCAGTTACATATTAGTTCCTAGTTAGGACTAAAGGGGAAACATGATGAGTCATACTTAGTGAAATAAAACAAATCAATTAATCAGGAAAGGAAGTGAAGTTTTTTGACTATCTAAAATAAAGTGGGATGTATACTGTGGATATTTTTATATGGGAGACATTGGATTACATATGAAATTATGTTATTCATTTAAAATTTATAACTTCCTATTAATCAAATAATATAATTTCTATTTGAATTAAATTAATGAGATGGATCTGCCTCATTCTCAATGACAACTTTAATCCTCAAGAAATTAACAATTTCTCTCTAAATATCTGGAGTATATATATATATATATATATATATAAACACACACACACTTTATATATATATATATATATATATATGTATATATATAAAGGGGGGTTGGAAAACTACTAAATTTGGCCCACTGTTTGTTTTAGAAAAAAAATTCTATTGGAACAGTCATGTTCATTCGTTTATGTATTGTTCATATTACAATGGCAGAACTGTAACTGCAACAGAAATCATATGGCCCACAAAGCTAAAAATATTTGCCTTCTAAACCTTTACAAAAAAGGTAAAGATCCAAGCCCCAATATAGGAAGTAAATCTTTTGTTGAAATGATTATTCAATTTACTTTAAAAATATTATAAATTCCTGAAGTTCAAGAATAAAAATATGAACAATTAAGTAAAAGGAGAGAAGAATAAACACTGACTTTATGGGGTGTATATATCTATTTAATTAAATTGGAATTATATGTTTTAGGAGCTACTTTCATCCATTCTCAGCACTTGTAAAGGAACACATTACAATATGATTAACATTCCTAGAAAGTCCATATATCAATCATCTATCTCTGGTATAAAACTGATGAACTACAGCAAATTCTTTGGCATGATTCTATAAAATTATTACTTCCTATAAGAACCTGATTAGAGGACTAAGGCAGAAGGGTGCCTGCATAGCAAGTGCAAGGCCCTTATTTCAAACTCCAGTACCATCAAAAAACAAAACAAAACAAAAAAATCTGACTAGGGAACAAGGTAGCTGCAACCAGATATAAAAATTCCAAACGTCTTTGCCATATAGCTCAACTCTGCTTTGGGCCTGTACCTATCTGCCTACCTTACTTCCACTTTACTTCTAAAAAAGATGGATGGTAAACAAGTTCATGTAAAAGGAAAACCTCTTGACATCTAAAATAGAAGTTAGAATAATCCTAAAAATAGGATTATTTTTAGCTTAAAAGACTTAGGAAAAGTTTTAGGTCATTGTGAAGACTCAGATGGCAGCATAATCTACATCTCATTTAGTTCTAACTAGTAAGTGATAAAATGTATGTTAATTTAAACAATCAGCTAGCTGTGCTTTTTATAATAATTTTTTTATTAGGATATAGTCCTTATGGGGGGGAGTCACAGTGACAATTCTGATTAGACTTATATTGTACATTATTTACATTGCCCCTATCATCTCTCCCCCTCAATCCCCTGCCCGCCCCACTTAAAGAAATTGCAAGAGGTTGGTTTCTTCGTTCTATTTCACATAGGTATATGAAGTCCATCAACCATATGCCACGTCACCTGTCACCTTAATCTCTTTCATTCACCTTCTCCCCTCCCACTAGTACCCTCCCCATGCACATAATGTAACCTATTTTATTGGCTCTGTACCTTTTGAAGGCAAGAAAGCTTTCATGTTTGGGATGTCTTAAAACTAACAAGAAGTCAATAAGTGCCAACCATGAACTACATAAGGAAAATTCCAAAGTTACCAAGCATGTTTTTTTTAAATGAGCCATTTCTCCTTAGGTGTCTATCCTCTGGTTACAAATTAAATCCTGGCTGATCATGCTAGAACACGATTGAAATAGGAATGTGAGTTAGGTATAACAATTCATTTACTTATTCAACAAATTCATCCATTCCATAAATATCTGAATGCTATTCTAAAGTGGTACATTTCAAGTATAGATAACAAAAGAGACAAATAAAACTGCTACTCTCATGGGTCAGCAGTCCAAAATACTGAATACAAATTTGGGGGTGGTGGTACCCGCTCATAATGACAGCATCCAGAAGGCTGAGGAGGGAGGCTTCCAGTTTTGGCTACATAGTGAGACCATGTCTCCAAAAAATATATACTGAATATAGTATCAGGCACTGCTTAGAGATATAATAATCCAAGAAGGCAGGACCAGACAGAAAGATGAAGGCTGCTATTTTAGATCCATAATGGGAAAAAGCCCCTTTGGCAAGGAGACATGAGCGCAGACCTGAACTCTAAATAAGGCAGAGGTGCAGGTCAATATAGTGGGGAGTGAGCTTTTCAGGTGGTGGACACAGGCAGTACCAAACTCCTGATCCAGGAGCACATATGGCGCACCTGAATATCAGGGGAAGATGTGGTTGCAGCACACAGATAAAAGCCTCAAAAGGGCCAGCAGGAGGCCATTCAAAGTTCATGGGCATCCCGAAGGACCATGGTTAGGGGTTCGGAGTTCATTCTAAGTATGATAGGCAGCTGCTAGAGGAATTTGAGGAGAAAAATAATAACCAATCTGAATTATATTCTGAAAGGATTACATTGCTTTCTTTGTGAAAAAGGCCCTGGAGTAAGGTGTTTACCTAGGATGCTTGTAATATTCATTTCAGTGTGTTTTATTTAGCAAATATTTGGCCTCCATGGTATAATATAATGACATAATATTTTTATAGAGGACAAGTGGAAATACAACTCCATTAGGCTTATTCCAGTCGCTTACTTTCTTGAACAGCATTCTCAGACCTTTATTGTGTTGGAGCCAGATGAAAATTACCCTAAAATGCTTCAGGCCTCTAAATTATGTTACTCTTTCTGGAATCACAGAGGAAAATGCATGAAATAGAAAAACTGAGAAAAATATAATCCTGCATTGGTAAATAAAAAATTTCTCCTTTTAATAAAATACATGGATGCAGGTAAATATGCTTCCTTGCCTTTCATAAATTCCGCCAGGAGAGGACTAAAGTTCAGAAGCCAAGAAAGCACCATCAAATGTTTCTATTTTACCATCAATAAATGAAACACAATGGGCATTGGCTGTGGTATTCTCTGTGCTTTGCTAAGTTATGAAATATTATAAAATTTGAAGAGAAATTTGGGCCCCTTTCATGTTCCCCCCCTTTTTAAAAAAGAGGCAATGGAACTAGTGATAATTAAATCCTGTTTTTGTGAGATTTAAGACAGTATTTTTTATTGTTCTCAGTGTTAAAATATTCAAGACACTCAATATTTAAATATTCAATATTTTCTTCTAAGGGAATATTTCAACATTTCAAAAACATTTATCGAGTGCCCACTGTGTTGCAGGATAAGGGACATTGACTTTGACCTTTGACATTTAACACCCTAGTAAGAACAGACACATAGATAAGTACAAATCAATATGTTCAGCAACAGTAGTGAACATATGTTATTTATAATCCACTCAACATACATTTATCAAGCTCCAGTGATGTTCTAAGCATCAATCTTGCTTAGAGAAAGAAAGAGGGCTTCAGAGAGGAAGCATCATTTGAACTAGTTCTTACAGGATGGATAGATAAGACTTGTCAGAAGAGTACAATGAAAAGAACTCTTAGAAGAAGCAGAAAGAATACACAATATGTATAGAGCTCAGAAGTATAAGGTGTACCTATAGTCAATTCACGTGGATAGAATGAGGGACACACGCATAGTGAGATGTATGGTTCAGAGTATAAAAACCTCAGTGTATCATAAAATTGTACATGTTGATGCCCCAGTACATGCCAACTTGACAGCACTTGTATTTCTTTGTCTGAGTTTCCTCTAGCCATTCAAGCTATTTTGTCCATCTGTGGAGCAGACTGGAAGCTCTGGAAAATTAACACTGGTGTCCCTTAATCATAACTAACAGCCCTTAACAGTGGCTCTTAGATTTTGGTGTATGAATACCCCAGTTCTCTAGTTTGTCCAGTGAGAGAACTCTTGAGGTGTGTGTTCTACACTAGCTTCTAAAGTTTCTCCAGGAAGATTAAGCTCCAGCTGCTTCTGCTTCAAGTGACAAATGGCTTGACAATGTATCCTCTGCTGGCTGCTCTCCCAACCCTGTCTCACTTTCCATATCACATACCATAATCCCTTCTTTTACCTCCTAAATAAAGTATGTGAACTTGATTTCTTGTCTTCTGTGGAAACCAAAGTGGTAAGTGCCAAAATCAGATTCATACTTCAGAAATAAACTTATGAGTTTATAGGTAAGACAGACCACATGAGGGAAGAAAGCAGAGAAGGACAGGCTACTAGGGGGTCAGTCATTGCCTGGGTACTTGTTTTCAGTGATAAGGTGCCATTGGTGGAATGAAAGGTCTAAAAAAAAAAAAACAGAAAAGATTCTAAGAAAGAACTGCATAACTAGAATAGAATCTAGGAAAGGGATAGGAAGAAAGGTGTCACATAAACATTTTAAATCAGATATTACCATAGAAAAATGAAACAAAGTAAGGAAGACCAAATTAAGGAACTGAGATGTGCCATTTGAGGAACAGTTGTGAGCTCAACTTAGGCAATAATGTTGGTGTATAAAAACTAAGGACAGACTAAGAAGATAATTTAAAGGAAGAACTGAAAGGCCTTATCAGTTAGGTCTCCAAATATAGAATTCACATAAACGAAATGATAATTTGGAAAATAAAAACATTTTCTCATAAAGTGTTAATATGAAGATGTTGATTTCTTTAACTTATAACCACTAAAAACCAATTCATACTATTTGTAAAAATAGTAACGGTAAAAGGTTAATTACTGGGCAATGATACTGTAAGTTGTACTAGCCAAAGGGTAGTTTGGAAAGTAAAATGGAATCTAAAGACCTGTGAGTAGAACTCCCTTTTAGTTTGAAAAATAAACTGGACACTGATTTTTCTGCTAAAATCTAGACTCAAAATGTCTCCAGCCATTTCACAGTACCATATAAGATGGTGACAAGGGATGTGGAACACAAGCCTCTCTAATCAGAGACAGCTCAGAGATGGAAGTTGCAGGATCCTGAAAAAAATAGTACTGTTTAATGTAAGTAATTACTTACAGGTGACTTTTTGGAGTTGTAACAAGAAAATCACATCTTCAATAATATAATAAACAAGAATATTAATTAAAATCTGAATTACCAAAGACTGAAATTTTTCTGCAATTTGTACTAAAGGCCTTGAGGGAAAAAGAAAACACTCATTATAAATCTCAGTGAGTATAAAAATGATCTGCACTCATTTCAAGACCAGACAATAAAAGAAGAGGACTAAAAAGGAGACAATCTCTCTAATTTTACCAAGTCATTTGTAAGGAGAAATGAATGCTAGTTATCAGAATCACATCTTCTCTATCATTGTCTGCTAAACAAAAAGAAATACACTGCAGTCAACTGCTCTAGAAACACATGGCTTTCATTATGTGCTATGGTTCAGTCATGCTGCATGATCAGTTTGTGATCTTTATGACAACTCAAATTCTGACTTCCTTCAGGTGTTGTTCCTGAAAGAGAGCAACTGGAGTTATACAGGATGGACTGTAATTGTAGCACACAGTTGGCAGCTGAATATATGATAAAGCCTGATTTCTATTTTCATTTTTCTATATGTGATATGCACCAAGTGAAGATGACTTGTGAATTTTTACTTGGGCTCAAATTAGATAGATGTCCTGAATTTAAACTCTGGCTCTCCAATTTACTAATTATACATCTCTGGACAATTAGTTAACCTTTCTGACCCTGCTTCGTAATCAATAATATGAGGAAAATAAATACCTAACTTTAAGCTGGCTATATCACAAATAGCATATGGCATATGTTAGGTGCTCAGTTAATTATTATTATCTGATAACATCTGGTTCTAAAATTTACACTTCTAGGATTGGTGAGTGAGAGAATTGTGGAAAATAGGGCAATAGTTCAAATGGGTTGCAATAATGACTACCCTCATCTCTGCTAGCAACCATTCAAGCAGGAAAGCAGCCTACTTGAAATGAAGGACCTCAAAAAAAGATAAAATCTTTAAAATATGCTTGGATAACTTCATGAGATTTAGACATCTCTTTTCAGTAAAAACCCATAAAGTTTATTATCTACCACAAAGATATTATACCTGCATATTGTAGGTTTATATACTGACATTTTGTTAAGTAAATGAATGAAAATATTTAAAAAATAATTTTGGTAACTATTATTATTTGAGGTGTTTTGGTCCTAGCTTTGTGGACATGTGAAATTGCTGCTTCATAAACTCCAATGAAAAAAAATGGCTTCAATAAAACATGACACAGTTAGTTACTTGGTTGCATGCTTGTTTTGCCCCACTAGATTAAAAGCCACATGCCTTAGTCATCTTTCCATTGTTCCTTCAAAAACTATTTATTGAGTGTCTATGAGTACCAGGCATAGCACATGGTACTAAATTAAGTAAGTATGTAATTCTGGACAGAGCTATTTCTAAGTGATAATGATATGTCCGTTTTGAGTTTATGTACTGCACATATTAGCAAAAGAAAGAACATTTCTTTTTTGAGATAGATATGACTTTCTACTACTATGTGTGATCAATAAGATATTGCTTATTGTCACAAGGCTTGATGTGATTTGAGTAAGAAAGGATTTACAGAAGAGAAAAGAAATGCATACCATTTTTTAGTAGATCAAGATAAGTAAAAGATAGAAATGGTCACATATACCCCATTTACAAAGAATCACTAAAATGAATTACAAGTGAAACAAGCAAACCATTTCAATAAGTATGTTTACTAACAGGCAAGTAAAACAAACAACCAGAGCTTTAGATAGCATTGTTTCAAATACACAGATTTTCCAATTTTTCAATCTTAAGCCCAAATCACCAATGGATTATTATGTGTAATGTAATCAGCTATGGGCAACTTTTTAATGGCTTTTACAAGTGGGAGAGAGAACCTTTTCATGATATGTTACAAATAACCAGTACGATTTACCTTGCTTATATGCAGAGAGAACAATAAACTAATGGGTGTTTCAAAATAAGCTTCCATAATCATGGTGTTAAGACAGAATGAGTAAAATTAAATCTCAGCACACGTACATTTTTAAAATTAGCAGTATAATGCTCACTTTAGGTCTCAGTGGGCAGAAACACTACATGAATTTTGCTGCAGGGCTTTCTTTCATTATAATTTAGTAATATACATGGTAGCTAGAGCTAAATCAAAATCTTCATTTTGGCTGAACTTATTACTTTTAACTTATGTACATTTACAACATATTTCCTATTAAAACCAGTACTCATTTTCACATTTTCTGTTCTTGGGAAAATACAGAAACCTGCTAGATTAGTTTTCATTCTGAATAGAGATGGCATCAACAATGGATTTCTTTATAGATTCTGCATTTGCCATTATGCAGTGAATTAAAGGCTAAATGAAATAGCAACTAGGAATGCACAATATCGCATATTTATAATAAATGACTAGAATATCTCTATACCATCCTAAAATGAGAAATGTCCACATATTCTAAAAGTTACTCAAAACAGAATTAACAGTTTTAAAGAATCACATATTGCTAGGAACAATTTATCAAGAAATACTAACTCAACTGATTGTTTAATTGTCATGTTAATGAACACTCCCTGCAGAGACAAACTGATACTATAATTAAAATACCTAAAATAGAAAAGAGAGCCATGGTAAATCTATGAATCAATAACTAAAGCAAAGAATAGTGATGGATCTCCAGGGGTTTCTTCATGTTGTACTAAATCATTCACAAGAGACTTTTATTACACAAAAGAGCAATAAAATAATAATACTATAGTCAGTACCCAAGACTTCTAAATATTTTCTGTAGTCATGCTTTCTAGTCTATTACAAAGTACCTATGGTGAGTGATTCTGTGGGCAGCAGTTTTACAGCTGTCTTAATAAAATGTCTAGTCCATAATAAACATCCAGTAAATAATTGAATGGTTGTATGAGGGATTCACTAGTGAATGAACCACTAGTTTAAGATTTGGTATCCTTCCAACCCTTAATCTGCCAGTTACTAGTATGTGACCTTGAGCAAGTACTTAAATATTTCAATTACATGTATTTCTGCATTTATTTGGCCCTTTGGACCTGCATTTTTGTGATACCTACATATTCTGACCAGTCTTTGTGGGTATAAGAAGATGAACACAAACAGCAGGGGGCAGCAGAACACTTTGGATTTTATAATTTTAGATCAAACTACACTTTAAATCCAGAAAAATTTCATCTATTCTAATCTTTAAACAGCTTTTAAATATCCATCTAATAGCCTAGATGGGTCTGTTAGTGTCTTCATTATTGACAGTAACAGGGGCTTATTTTTCAGTCTTCAAATCAGATATGACTGACAGGGTAAATTGAAGGTACAACAAGAATATTTCAGTTTGAGTCAAAAAGAATAATATATTCAAAGATATTCTTATAAATGAAAATTAAAACTCACATCACATAATGTATTGGGCTTTTAGTCTACAAGCCCCTTATCTACATGGCTATCTGTCTTTCAGTTTAACTTGGTTGATAGTCCAATTCAAGCTATGTTTCAAAGAATGTTTGCCAAATTAAGGGACATATAACTGACTTCATATTAACTAACTTGTCTGGTGGTTCAAGATAAAGCTCATTATTTTCTCAGTATAAATCATGTTTATTTCCAAAGAGATACATGCCTTTAATAATGGTACACATTTTGGATTTTTTTTCCCAGATTCATGTCAGAAAAAAAAAATGATGTTCCTTAGGATCACCGAGGGGGCAATAGAAAGGGAGGAAAAAACTGAATGTGAAAAAAAAGACTGTTGATAATACATTTATTGCAATTCCTAAAGCAATAGTCCTGTCAGAAATATTATTTATTCATGTTTGAGTTAGAAGTTTAGAAGTTGCCACTGTGCTCTGTGCTTAACACACTGAAAACTGATAATATGAAAAATTTTCAGACAATTCACCTTAAAATATAACAAATGCCTCTCAATTTTTACGTTATGTAGCAAACACATATTGCTTCTCTATGAGAAGGGAGGATAGTAGAAAGGTTCATGAAATTTTAATACTGGTTTGAAAGTAATGAATATATTTACCTGCTGCAAAAAGCATGACAGCAACAGGTCTGTAGAAGCGCCTTCGAGATCCCACGCAGATGGAAATCAAACCCACCAGGAATGCAACGAGAATGATGGCAGCACCGCCCAACAGTAAAGCCAGAGTAGCAATCTGCCAGTCTGGAAAGAAAAAAGAAAGGCATTGCTGCTTTTAAGCAGTAAGTTCTCAAAGAATCAACAGAACTAATGCTTAGCAGCCTTCAACTTGCTGCACCTCAACAGATGTGATTTTATTGCATGCAGCATCCTTTGGGGTCTGAAATGTTTTGCAACAAAAATTAATATTAATGTACTTATTCAGAAATGGGTTCTATGCTAAGCTCAGGAGTGTTTTTAAACCAGGGCTTTGCCACTTTTCTTCCAAGGTCTCTCATTCATGTTAAACCAAGTGTCCCTTCCATGACCTATTTTCAATATTATTATGTTTTAAATTTTATTGAGCTATAAAGTTCACAAATCTTAAGTATAGAAAATAAAGATGAGTTTTATATATATTTATGCATCAATGTAAGCACCACACAGATTAAGATCTCAGATCTCAGATAATTCTATCACCCAGAAAGTTCCCCTGTGATACTTTCCCAGTAACTACCCTCACACCAGGGTGACTTAATTTTTCCTACCATGGATTAGTTTAGTTTTGTCTGTTCATAATTGGTATGAACTTTTTTGTGTCTGAATTTTAAGTCTCTGAAATTCACCCATGTTGTCATGTGTGGCAGTAGTACATTCTTTTGTTAATGTTTCTTCTTGGAAAACCTTCCTTCAGCTTATAAAAATTCCCCAAGTTTTTATTTGCTTTGCTTCCCCACTAAAACAACTCCCTAGCCAATTAACATCAGGAAGATTTGTTATTTATTATTTTTTTTCCTCCTCGCCTTCATTTCATTCTCATCTCAACAGTCGTATTTACCACCACAGGGATAGTTTCTGAAAAGAAGCATTCCCAAGGAGCCAGAAGACTCTAAATGGCTGCTTGATTTCCTTTTTTATTCATACAAGAAATAGCAAACCTATACTGGCCACTTATTATGGGCAAACTTCTGTACATGGATACATCAAGCAAGTCTCCTCAGTGAAAAGCAAACCTCATTGAATGCAGTTGTCATTTCTTATAAAATAAGGATGCGGTAATGGTATGGCAGAAAAATGACCCTTTTTCCATTCATAAGGCAGGCAGAATGTTCTTTCAGAATAAGCAAAGTGAATCTATTAAAGAACTATTCTGGTTAGGAAGCATCACATAAAATGATATTGTAGAGAAGCACTGTTTAGTGGTGGTTGTTTAGAAGTCCCAGGCTGCCTCTTCTGGCCCTCAGTTTAAAGTATGTGAAGGAAATGCAAATAGATTTTAATCTAGTGTTTAACTGTAAAGTATTCTATTCAAAGTCCTGAATTTATGATCCAAAAAGTTTCCAAAGTGTACTTTTTGCTGCAGTAGGATAAAGGATGAGTGAAGGAACCTACAAGATTTTCTCTTTTTATTTATATTTGCATATTGTTGCTTCTACCATTCATTTCCACATTCTCTCCTCCTAAGAAATTCTGGACGTTTCACTGGCACTCAAATAGAATTTGCACAGCAATCAGGAAACAAATAAATAAGGGCAAAATAGAACAAACTCACACTTCTTAAAAAGATGAATCACAAGAAAGTAGAAAGCATTTTCACGCCATCTATTTGTAACAAAGCCATATAACTTCAAACAAAAGTATATCTGGCTTTCAACTGAAGTTAAAAGGACAACCACACCATGACTTTTTTATTCCCTAACAGCATGAAGCTTTGAATTAAAAATCCAAAAGAATAATCTTTATACTTGGAAGTCTCTAAATTTCTTTGGAAAAGTTTATACATAGCACATTATTTAACATAATGGAAATGCTTCTGAAACTTGTGTGTGAGTTGAAATTTCTGAATAAAAATTCAAAGTTTAATTATATCAAAGCATACAGGGTACAAAGAAAAGAATAAAACCCATCTATGTATCCATGCATCAATGAAATTCCTGGAGAGTTTGGTTTAAGAGAGCCTGTACTGGAAATGTTCTAGTTTGACAGTTACTTTTATAAAATGATTCCTATTTTTAACAACTTCTCCTAAATTGTTTTAAATATGTAAGAACACTTAAAGTATTGGCTTTGTTTTGATAAAGATACCACTAGGAGTCTCTACCCATTTCCTTTGTGGAGAACAGGAAATGTTTCTCTCCTTTTTTTCCCCCAACTTCTCCCTTTTTTGTCCTGTTATACTAAAATAAATCCTTGTTAAAAATAAAAAAAAATTAAGATACCACTAAATATTCACCCATTTAAAAATATCAATATAAATTACAATAGTTTTCTTGTTCCTGATAAACTTTTCCATTAACTCAATATGCACAAAATGTTAAATATTTCACTAGCTTCACTTCCGACCCAAAATTAAACAAGAATTAATTTTGGCCACTCTTATCTTAAATATCCTCAAGGAGTAGCTAAACTTCACATTTGTTTGCATTTTCTAAATATCAACTAAGATAGGAAAAAATCAGTAAACTTTCTGTATAAAAAGGGCCAAATAGTAAGTACTTTCAGCTCTGTGGGTCATAGTATCTGTTGAACCTACTTAACTCTGCCAAGTGAAGTAAAAGCAGTCATAGATAATATGTAAATGAACAAGCATAGCTTTCTTCCATAAACCAGGAAGTAGGCTGGTTTTTGACCCTGTGGCTGGGTTAGTATTTGGTGATCTCTAGGTAAAGGTCCCTCAATAAAAATCATATAATTAAGTCCATTTGGTAAAAGAGTAATACAGAGCATAAAATAATGCTTATCCAAAATACAGAAAACAGCAAAGAACTTATTTTCAGTAATATTGATTTTCCTTAAAATAATTATCTTATTTCATGTGAAAAAAAAAACTGCAATAGTAGAAGGCACCAGGAAAGTAAGTTAAAGGGACTAGAACCTGATAGGAAAGAAACTTCTTGCAGCACGGGAAATATATTAAAAAGTAGATGAAGTTTTGAGTTTTCTACTAAATGTTCTACATTTTTAGTACTGAGGTTTTAGCTAATGAGAGTCACTCTATCAAAATCAATAAGGAGAGTTACCAGTAGCATCACTACCCTTCCCTTTGGCCCAAACCAGAGCTATAGCTACTCAAACAGAAAAGTTTTTTTTATTTTCCAAGAAACAGCAGAAATGGGCCATGGCTGCCACCGTCATGGCCAGAAACCGGGCTTAATACTGGAATACTGACATTATATCACTGGTGGACAGTACCAAGTTTTAGAATTGTTGTTATTATATCCACTTGGAACAATTCACTCAGGTGGGTTTGCTTTAAATCATTGGACAGTTCATCCTCAATCAGAAAGTTTAAAAAGTAGTTAGACTTCCATAGTCAAGGAGATCTAGGGTGCTTTTCAAAGTTCAGCCTAGGCATTTTGGAGCTAAGAACAGGGCTTGTGACATGGTATCTCTATCAATAAACAACCAGAATCTATTATTCAAACATTAGGTCTAGCCTGAGAGGTGAACTAAAGTCAGAGACTATAGATCAAATGGTTACCATTTCCTTCTCTTATTGAACAAAACTAGGATATGGGAAATACAAAAAGTATAAAATACTTTACAAACACCTAGTAATAACAGGATAGACTTTATATTTACTCAGATAGGTAGATAACTCCTCAACCAAAAACTAGTACTAGATTTAGAAAGAATATGTACATACATAATGTTTTATTATATTCTACAGGACCTGGGCAATTTTACAGTAATATTATAGTAAATGTCCAGATAACTTGTCTCAGCCCAATTGTTTCCTTTATGGTTTGAATGTCACAAGTACTTGCCACTCCATATTCAGTGTTTGCAAAGCAAATTAAAATATCAAAATTATAGCCCCATTTCTTTAAAAAAGTCATGCATTTTAAGTTCTAATAATCAGTTAAGTTCTATATCAATCTTAATTCCCAGTTAAAGTCCTTATAGTATTTAGTCAGATGAAGTATTAAAAGTCCTTAGAGATTTATTACTCTGCATGGATTTCCACATTTCTATAAATGATGTACTGATACCATAGTCAAACTAGGAACATAAATCAGCCCTGAAGAACACCAGTAGCCATGGTGTTGGTTTACAAACCTCAGTGCTATGCACAATAAAAACTGGCCACTGTTCAGTGTTAGGTCAGCTAACTGGAAATCTGAATCTGTTTTCTAAGACCTGAGACAATAGGTTGGTAATCAGTACCAACTGATAATGTAATAATGTACATCTTTGGTCTATAAAACTGGTGAGGGTTTGGATGAGCAGGACAGTATGTTTGGATCTGGTAACCTAACCTGAAATGAGGCTGCTATGTTACATGTCACATCCCTCAGTATTTCAGCAAAATTGACACAGAGACAGAGGGCATTGGAATTGAAGCTAGAGACGCCAAGCCACAAGTAAGTACATGCTTCTCTATTAGTGTGATTCCTAACAGAAAAAAAGTAAAAACAAAGAAAAATATATACCCACATCCAAATGTTGTTTTCCTCCACAGAACAGGGCAAAATTCAGTCTCTGTATTATAACATCAAGTCCAATATTAATATGCAACTCAGGAACTAGATGAGGCCTCTTTCAAGGTATCTTTATTAACTGGCATCAGTTTCCAATGTCTATAAATGCTTTAGTATTCGGCAGAATTGTGCTGACCTAATTTTAGCGGTATAATACATGAGACTGGTCTGCAATTGTCAGTGCATTATGAAAATTCTAGTCCACATTATAGCTGCCCAATTGGAGAACTCTCTTCTAGAGGGAATTCATATTAAAAATTCACTTATGATTTTCAAAAAAGGCAAAATCTTAATGAGAATACATTTTCCACACTTTTGAGCCAAGGTCAATGCACCTACCACATGCCAGTGCCTTAAGCTTTCTTCCTCCAACTATGTTATTTCCAGACCTTTACCTTATCAAATACTGGCTAATTTGTTTAATTCTGTAGGTACTGTTTGTATGCTAAGATTAGTTCTACTATATGTAAATACCTGGGCACATAATTGCTACCTCTTTTAGGAAATTAGGTATAATTAAAAAGCAATGAAGGAACATATTTTAACTTTAAAAATTCAAATTCC